AGCACGCATCTTAGACACACTGAATATTGATGTGTATTATGTGTCCGAAACTAGGATCAATGACTCTAACGGGGTTATTGAATTAACTGCACCCGGCTTATCCACTCGTTATTGGTCGCACGCATCCAGAGACTCCGATGCAGCACTCACGAGTCAAGCTGGTGTAGGGATCATTCTAAGCTCCAAGGCTGAGCCATCGTTGGTTGATTGGATTCCAGTGAACAGCCGTTGATGTGTAGCCCGTTTGATGACATCAGCTAAGGTGGATTCACGAAGTTGTACAAAACGCTGTTTGTTAGTTTGTGATTTCCGCTTGTGCTCCCACCGACCGCAGTTCAGATGTTGTCAAGGACACATTCTATCACGAACTGAACGCGCTACTACGTAGTGCTACTAGTCCAGATACTATAGTACTTGCAGGGGATATGAACGCACAATAAGGCGTCTGAGCTCTTCAGAAGCTCAGTTGAGTGGTAATCGTGGGCTTATCTCCGAACGGACTGACAACGGTGAGCGTCTGCTTCAACTGTGTGCGGAGTACCAGTTGTTTCTTAGTAGCACCGTTTTAGACACAGTGGGCGTCGAAGTGCCACATGGCGTCCTCCTGTAGCTGGCAAGCGATGGACCCAAATTGACCACATAGCCATAAGTTACAGGTGGCGTGGTTCCATCCTGGATCTGAAAGCTCAAGTTGGAAAATTATCCACTGATGAACTGTATCTGGGCGGCCAACATGGTGTAGGCTTTCGTAATGATCACATTGAGCTGTTACTTCATTTGTGTGAAGATGCCCGCTTATTGCTTGCGAGCACTAATTTCCGATACAGCACTCGCCGGACGGTGACTTGGCGCTCACCAGCCTCGAACCAGCTATGGACGTAAATCGATCACATTGCGATCAGTTACCGATGGAGAGGCTTCCTCCAGAACTCGCTCGATTTGGAGCACAGGTGTAGACACCAAGCATGCACTTGTAAGTGCAGACCTGCCGATGGGTTTTGGCGAACGCCCAAGAGGATGCTGGGAGCACATTGACACCAGCCAACCGGCGAAACCAGCTGTTCTGAATGCCAATCAGAGTACGCTGTCATGCGAGTTGAGTAAGTGCTCATTGGATGCAGTTGAAGCTCACTGGTCACATGTTCGCCAGACCTTACTAGCAGCAGGAAAATCCTCATGTGGCATGTCTAATAGCCAACATGGACATTGGGTCTCTTCGCGGTCTCTGGAACTTATCGATGGTCGCCGGCACATTCCGGCTGGAAGCGAACACAATGAAACTCGCAAAGAGCTCCGGGCAAAACTCCGTGCTAGTTTGAAGAGAGACTGCGAATCTTGGTGGTCTCATCGTGCTTCAGAAATGGAAATGGCCGTTGACGTGGGTAGCCATCCAAAGTAATTCCATTTGATATGGGAAACGGGCAGCATAAGATCTGGTGTTAGTGTAACAATTTGTGTCTAGATTGGACAGCCTATCCACAACTTGTCAAAACGCTTGGAACGTTGGGATGAGCACTTTGAAAACTAATTTAATAGGTCGGGATCGTTAGACTTCTCGCCAGACACGGATCGCCCCGCTTCCTGGGCTGTTCCTTTGCATTCAACCACTCGATCAGATGTCAAACGTGTGATCTAACTGTTGAAGTTAAATAAATCCGCGGGACCAGATGATCTGCCTCCAGTCCTATACAAATTCGGAGGACCTGCTCTGATGGATGATTTATACGAGTTACTAGTGAAACTGTTGGAGCAGCAAACTTTCCCAACTGATTGGAGCCGCTCTGTCATACACCCAATTTACAAGGGAGGCTCACGATCAGAATACAGTAACAATAGTAGAATCAGTCTTATCCCCATCCCATCCAAATTGCTTGCTTCTGTCATCCTGCACAGACTGACTGGCACTCTTGAAAGCCAGATTCGTGAAGAGCAAGCCGGGTTTCGTCAAGGTCGAGTCTGCATTGGCCACATCTTCACTTTGCGTCAGTTGTTGGAGCACCGTCACATATATTGGTGGCCCACCGTCGTCGTGTTCCTCGATATCAAAGGTGCATTCGATTCGGTGGATAGACTTGCACTTTGGGACCGTCTACTTAGAAAAGGTGTACCTGTGAAATATGTAAATAGCATCCGATCATTATACGCGCGTACCTCAGGCAGAGTGAGGGCTTACGGCCAGTTATTCTCCCCCTTCAATATCACCAGCGGTGTGAGACAAGGATACCCGCTGTCAACTTTCTTCTTCCGCTATGGACAAAGTCATGGAAATCGCGTTCACAGGACAAGACTTAGAAGGTGTGGATCTGTTCCCAGGAGGACGACTTCTTGACTTGAAATATGCTGATGATATTGCCCTAATCTCTGACAGCTCCCAGACGTGCCAAGCGGCACTGGACAGATTAGCACTGGCTATCATCCGTTTCGGACTTTTCTTTGCCCTATCCAAGTGCAAAGCGTTCCTCCAAGATTCACCTGGACCGCCACCTTCGCCGACTCTTGGTGGGGATCAGCTGGAAGTCCTACAAAAATGCAACTACCTGGGAAGTTTTATCAGCGCCCGTGGGATTTAAGATGAGATCACGAAGCGTATAGCAAAAGTTCGAGGCGCTTTTGCTAACCTTCGCCACTTATGGCGCCGGCGCGACATCATTCTCGCCCTGAAAGGTAGAGTGGACAATGCAGCGGTACGTTCGACCCTACTGTACGTTTGTGAAACCTGGCCCCTTAGATCAGCGGACATAAAGAGTCAATTTAGGTTCAAACACCGGTGCCTTCGCAATTTGATTCACATTTGGTGGGAACACCGCGTTAGCAACGAGCGTGTTCGACGCCTTGTTCACGGCACTAGAGAAAGAACTGAACCGCTCAGCACCGTTATTTCAGGAATCAGACTACGACGGCTCGGCCACGTGTTGCGCATTCCGGTCTACCGACTCCCGCGACGTGCGTTGTTTGCTCACCGGGGGGCGTGAATGGAGGAGGTGGAGAGGTGTCCAATCGATGACTTGGTCGAGAGGAATGAACGCTCTCAATGCGAAGCTGGCCTTAGTTGGATTGTCTCAGCTTCCTGGTTGGAGTCCGATAGACGATGAGCACGTTTGGCTGGAAACACTTGTTGTTATACCTAGGAGCCGACCGAAGTGGCGTTCGTGCTGTGAGTTTCGTTGTCTTAGCCCCGCCCTCCATCCATGATCTCATCGTTCAGCATTTTATGATTCTGCGTAATAGACTTTTTTCTGCTACCAACTGGTAGCTTTCCGGAAAGATTCTCATTCGTTCCTGGTAGCTCAGCTGGTTTGCACCTGTTACATTTTATTCCCTTGTTTACTTTTAAGTATTGCGGCACAGTAGCTGATGTCTTTTTTACTTGTAGCTAACATGTATAGTGTGTGTGTGTGTGTTATGACTGAGCTTTATCAAGTGATAGCAGTTTTGCTTAATATCTGATAAACAATGGTCAGGTCACCATGTAAAGCCGTTAGCCCCCCCCAAGTTATTCCAGAATATGCAGTCGCTGTTCGTGAGGTAACTTGTATAGCCCTTCGACGTTTTTGGTTCATTGCCGTTGTGGAATTTCCAAGACCGTGAGTTTCAGCTTCTTCTGTGTGTGCCATGTTCACGTGCATATTGCAGGTGAGGACGTAATTTTGCAGAGAGCAGTAGGTGAATACTAGATAACAATGCAGCAGCAACCCGTCTGTGGAAGTGACCAACACGCACGCACGCAAGTTTTATTTTCTATGCATTACTCGTTACACGCTTGCGAGTTGCACATTTTCCAGGGGCCATGCTATACGAAACAAATTGAAAAGCGAATTTATACAGTGTGTGAAGACTGTGTAAGAAGACTGTGCGGATTTAAGGTCACTCTATGAAAGAGAACGTCGGGTGATCTGAGTGTGCCACTGTTGCTTAACGCCAACACCCTTTCGCTCCTAAGAAAATTAGACGAATTATCATGTCCCGTCTGTGATAGAGCATTTTCGCAGCAAGGCAGCATTGCGCTGCCAATACCTCGCTTTCCAATGGAGTGGATCATGCTGTAGATTCCATAAGAGAAGATATTTGCATCTGTTTCGCCTAGAGTGCTGGTACCAAAACAGAGGTGGAGCAGTCCGTATTAACACCCAATCCATCGGTGAATAGCAACAAAACCTATGTTGCTTTTCGACAAAATGTATCCAATAGTGTTACAATTCAAGCCGACTTGTTGGAGTGGGTCGCATTCAATATTGTTGTCTAAAATATATATATCCCACCCCAACGTCAATGTGTTTGGTATTAATGCGGTGTTTGGTGAAGAAAAACTCCAGCGGTGCAGTTGGACAAGAATCGTGAGATACCATGACATTTACCTACACCAGTAGCAATATCCAACGGGAAAGTGAGTCTGTCATAGGCTGCAAGCTAGCCCGTAATGTGACTGTCAAATAACTACAACACCACGACTAACCTTGGGGTTCAACATTCCTTAGTGGTCAGTTCCATAGATCGGATCTCAGTCAAAATCGTCTCAAATGCACAATAAAACCACGATTGCTGAGATGCAGTGAACGTGACAGTGCGCGAGAATTTGCCTCATAGTAAACATTCGTTCAATATGACCTTGGTCAGTGACAATAGGAATCAGTGAGATCGCGCTTCGCATCACTACATAATGTCGCTAATTGAACCTAGTGTGGAAAAATCTGACTTTCGACCTGTCCGCTCATAAGATCCCTATTCAAAGTTACCTGACTCCAAAAGTGTATTTGTCAAACTGAGAAATGGTCTACATTGAGCTACTAATGCAAGCCTCTCTGTAGTTAACCTCAGACACACACTAAATGCGTTATGGCGTCTGCCGGTGTATCTTCCAGCCTTACTAGTAATATTATGTTCCGAAATGTCTCACAAAATTGAATGAATGAATGAAGAGGGGTGTCCATCCGTGCGAAACTACTTGGGAGTTGGCAAAATTCTAGTGGTGATTATTTATCGTTAAAGAGCCTAACGCTTACCAGGTCTAGATCGTGTTTGGCACTAAGCATCTCCTTGTGTAGAGCTCCTTGATTGGTTGGCAAAGGTTGTTGGTATCGTCTTGTGACTTCTTCGACAAGCCGGTTAACTTCCTGCGTCAGCAACCGGTCACGTTTAGCGCTCAAAAAAGTGGCGGGAAAATGGAGTAAAACTGGTTGTGATGTGCGCTCAATAAAACAAATGTCAGTAGTTGTATAACGGTAGCGCGATTGTGATGTGCGTGTTTATGACTAATGGATGCACGCCTATTAAAAGTGAGGGTACAGAAAATGGCTCCTTAGATATTTGAGAGTAAGACGTGCGGTTCTATTAGCAGGATAGTAATAAGTATATAAGCAAGTTTAAGTTTTATAATCAAGAAGAAATCCTCGTAAAACAAGGAAGATTGAATGTAAAGGATTATTCTAGAACCTGTGATACCTGATTAGTTCTAGTTTCAACACGGTATTGGCATCCAAGCAGCAAGGTTTGGGCGAGACTCTGATCTGCCTCTGCTTGGCTGCATGTAGTTCCGCTGCACCGAGCATTTTCAAGTCTTCCCTGTTTACATCGAAGGGAGCAGACTTGATACGCCAATTGGCCTCTACGATAAATAAAGTGTGACAAAGCGTAAAACATCTGCATCACACAACAGAATGGATAATCAATAGCATATATTCAATCAGAACCGTCTGGCACACAAGACCCATTACAAGTAATCACTTAGAGGCCATTGACATGCTGTGGTGTGTGCCCCCGAGTACTTTTCAAGTGGCTTCGGAGTGCAAGATCACGAAAAATTAATGAAGCTTTTCAGGTGCCTTTCGGTTATTAATATTGACTAACAGGAGTAACAAGCGGTGTTCGCAAATAGACCTAATGCCTAATGTAATGCCAAAGAATGGTTGAGGTTGCTCGCTCAAGCTCAAACCTTATTTTGAGACATTAATTTTCCCATCTCTGGCACTTAAATATCCATTCGGGAGCCGAATTACACCATCCTCCAAGCGATCATTAATGATCAAATTGCAGCTCACCGTCTTTTATGTAATCGCCGGTTTTTCCCAAATATTCCAGCAATTTTTCATCTCGTTTCTTTCTATATTCGTCTCGCCATCTGCGCACGCTTTCTTCATCCCTTTGAGTAAAGAGAAAAGTTGACGTAATGAACCATACAATACCTCAGTTCGTTTGTATCCTCATTTGATATCTCTTATGCCACCTATGGAGTGCAGTTCTCCAATAGCGTTTCAAAGTAATCCGTCCTTTGAAAACGTTATCGGGGGGAAACCAAATGCTTGAATTCCATGCATAATCAGTGCGGCGTCATACAGCGCCCCATTTTACGATTACTAATACTTCAACCAGTATCGGAGTTTGTCGAGGATGATGTCAGATAATTTTCAACGAGGCTTACTGTGTCCAATGTGACAGCATATAATAAATCCCTAATTCTCCTCACTAATGAAGTGAGATGGGACACAATGACTGAGTTCTCAAGAATGGCGGCCGCTTGTAATGTACTGATGCTTAAGATCGTTGCTCTACTACTTCTGTTGAATCTGTGTGACCTGAATAAGCCTTGAAGGGCTTGAAGTTTAAATTTACACAAGGATCGGGGCACCAAAGTGCACCTAGATCAGGCTGCATCGTTGTACTCAGTCATCATAATCGAGATTAAGAGGGCTTAGCCAGTGGTGTAGTTGAGCGAAAGGAAGTAAATGGGCATGAAATCGCAGAACCCACGGATTAGCTGCTCAATGCAGTAAGCTTAATGCAATGAGATTATAATCAAATTCTTTATACCGGACATATATGATTGTACCAAATGTTATTGTGTTAAAAAAGAATAAAGATATTGGGCTTGAAATAATATTATGCAAACTGGAATTTTTAAAAAGGCTTGGATTACTTTTAATGTGTTAGCACACCCCCGAAGTCTTGCTTACCTGAGTTTTTGTAGTCTCTTTTCTTGGAGAATTAATTCAGCTTTTCGAGACTTCATCCGTTGCTCACGTGAGTGGATGGATCGAATTCTCCGCATTGAAGGCTGAGGTGGAATTTCAGGAAGCAGCGCATCGTGCCTGGCAGACTGCTTGACAAACTTGGTGAACGCGCTAAAGCATAAATGGGATGAGACATGTACATATAGGTCCAATTCATCATTAACTGGGTGGAGTTAGACTTTTAGCTCCAAGGACATTCCATAAATACACACCCCGTGAATATGGGCTTCATCTAGACAAAAAAGGACGCCCATACCTCCAAAAGAAATGCGAGTATACCGAAATGACAAATCGGACGGCTGCAAAGTCCCACACATGTTTAGAACATTTTAGTAAGAAGTCTGAGGTGTGCTTGAATCGAAAACATTCTGGACGCAGGGAGGCTCCAGGATATTGTAAAGCATTTATTAAAGATCTGTAGGCCCACTGAAGAATTTCAATAGACCTGTATATGAATAGCTTGCAAACCGCTACTAATTTTCTGAAGATAAAGGTAACATTTGAATTTCATCGTAATCCATGTTTTTTGGAAACGCGTTATCCCTGTTCCACCTCTTTCTGTCAGTCATAGCAACGGCTCAGACACTAAGCATTAGTATGGTCTACACTATACTATATCACACTGAAAAACTAGGTGGGTGGAGAGGATGCATGACATGTTATATTCTTGTTCATCATATTCAACTACGAAACATTTTGTATCTTCAGTTAACTTGTACCAGGTTAGGACAAGATGCAACGAATCTGGTTGGAACTAGACTTTGGTGTCCTAAGTCGAAGAACACATTCCGATTTGGGGAAAACCAAAGAAGGAGCGACAAAAGCAGATCTCGTCCGTTGCTGTGTTTTGGAACATGTGTATATACTGCCACATGCGATCCCAACTTGGTCGCCAGTTAGTTTAAGGCGCATCTTTACCATTTCGATCAACGGAACCGCAACCGAAGTGGAGTGTCTCGGCGTTGCTCTCTCCCATCACTGTAATCCAATACGCAGCGGTAGAAAGTATAGTGCTGTCGAATCTACACAGTAACGTGATGGTTATTACACAGGCAAATGTGACGTAGAACGCACTGCGATGAATTACTAGTCTGCGAATGAACATTTTAGAGTGTTGATGTGTTTGACCGCCAGGAGGAGTGGAGGTAAAAGTTCAGCGCATCTACATTGGCTGCAAATGGGCCAAGATTATCCGGCCTCTGGTTATAATGTGGATGGCCCTAGAGATCTCCAATGTTGGTGCTTACGAATGCTGAGTGTTGCCCTACCGAGTACGGGTCCGTCATCATTTTCATCATTATCATCATGCTACACATTAGGTAGGGACAAAAAGTGTCTCAGCTATGGTACCAGTAAAAGAAATTGCCAACTATCTTTTCAGGATGCTTGAGGTAGACCACGGCACAGTTGCCGGCAGTCTGTTTATTTACAACGTTTCGTTGAAGTCCGCGGAAAAGAAGAAACGCCACAAAGATTTATTTCGACTGGGCTGTAGGCGATCGCTTCAGGTGCATTGGGACTGTCTTCTTAAGCAAGGTGTGTTGTGACATATGTACATATTTTATACATGCTTGGTTTGGGCAGAACTAGGAAATATGATAAATAATGGCAACACTTTCAATTATTCAACGGTGCCAGAAAAGAATATTCGTTGTCACATCTTCCTTTGAAATTTGCATTTGTTTAAGTTGAAATGAATATGAATGATTTGAATGTAAACATCAGATAAGAGTACAGATTCAGAAGTCCAGATGGTCTGGGTGACCAAGATAGGTGAATGGTCCCATGGCGACCAAGAGCATGCTTGTGTGTGTGTGTGTGTGTGTGTGTGTGTGTGTGTGTGTGTGGTCTTCTTCACATTAGGTTGCAGGGTAGGAGGGTAGAGTGAATGCCTGGACAAATGTATTGTGCGCATGTAGGTCAGGGTCAGAAACCCTAATGGCTATTGTCCCAACCGCTGCCACTTGACAACAACTAACGGTTTGTGTTGTCGGCGTAAGCAGTAGATGTGCTGAAACGCATCATGAGCTTTAACTTGGTGTTTCGAATCAACAAGATGTGCATGTGCTGCGCTTGCCACTGATCTAGTCAAGCTGATATACAGACTAGCTGGTCAATATTCCCTGGATGTTTCGGCCAGCATCCTGGTGGTTTTTCCTATATATATCGATCGATGTGAGCAAGAGAAAGATTACACACAGAAAGAAGTATCCGACTTCATAATTTTGTCCTTAGCTAGCTGAATCAGAGACGGCAGTGAGTTAAGGATTTGCCGTAAGCTACGTACTAGGGTAGAGCGTTGGCCTAAGCATGCATTCTAGACCTCGATTCAGCTATCCCATCCCTCTTGTACGGTAACGACAAACGGACTGGTTTCTTATCTACTGAAACCAGCTTTGTCTGTGCTTCTCGAGCTTCCATATTTCTACAAACGTACTTCTCCGGATAGTTATTTCTCTGGAATAGGCTTCTCAGGAAGTTGAACTTGTCCGGTAGCATTTCCTCCCTACATAGTATGGACTTTATACACAGACACACATGCGCACAAATGCACTCTTGATCTCCGTGGGACTAATCAGTTAGCTTGGTCACTCAGAACATCAGAGATTCTGAACTCTTATCTGTTGTTTACATTCACGTCATTAATTTGTGGTGCATTTGCCTGATGGGGAAACACTGGAAATGAGCTACTTCACTAACTTTGTTTCTGATGTCTACACCCGGGGTATTTTAGAAGTTGGAATGGGTTTACTGGATACAAATTAGAAGTTACGGGGTTGCCTCCAAATGACCAACTTCTCGGCTTGATTCATGACGAGAATATTATTCTCTTGTGACAACTCATAAACCTATCAAACAACAATAGACTGATAAGCACTGGCTGTCAATCGATTCGAGTTGTGCTTTGCTCGCTTGTAATGCAAATCTTTCCACCAATATTGCACGTACCAATTCCTTCGTTGACTACTAGTGGGGATCAGTCTTGAATCGTTCAAAAATTCAGCTGCCTGTGAAGATATATTAGCAAATGTTGAATAGCTGATGAGGTCGAAAGTCGCATAGCGAAAGCCCGAGCAGCATTAGGTAATCCCTGCTACGGCACCACCATCGCGCTGAACGGTACAGTCTACAATGCACTATGCTGTCTACTCTACTGTACATTTGGAAAACCTGACCGATCAGAGCAACAGATATAAAGAGGCTAGTTACGTTCAAACAACACTGCCTTCGCAGCTCATCTCATGTCTGGTGGGGACACCGCACGAGCAACGAGCTTGTTGAACTTCTTGTTTATGGCACATGAAGAGCAGATGAACCGCTCGGTACTTTTATCTCACGAACCAGGCTCCGATGGCTTGGTTGTGTTGCACATTCGAATGCACCGAATTCCGCTAGATGCGCTGTTTGAACAACCCAGGTATGGGTGGAAGTATAGCGGACGCCAAGCAGTGGCGTGGACAAGAGAAAAATGCTCTCATTGGGATTTAGCCCGACTGTCTGTTTGGGACTTCAACGGCTAAGAACATGTTTGGATGGATAAACTTGTTGACATGGCGGAGAGCCAAGCTCAGTAATAGTCATGATAGTAATATGTATATTTCGCTGGTGCACTAGAGGGTGTTCCCGTAATGAAGACAACTAATTAGCAAAACACTGATCATGTTGTTACAAAAATGACAAAAATATGCAATGGTCTGTATTGTTAAAACATTCTGAGATAAGCGGCCTTTTTGTGGATAGGTTGTATGTATTCCACTCCCAGGAGCTACCGATGTTCTGGTCTATCCTCGAAGAACTAGGCCAATTTCCTGATGACATATGACCATTATAGGATACTTGAGCAGGAAAATTCCTTAGCCAATGCAAATATTCTTGCATTTGTGCAACATACGCTAGTGATTGAAAGGTTATCTTACAAGACTAGGAACAATGACGTAATAGGGAATAAAATATCCGGACTGTGACAGGTCCCGTGGGATAGCTTGTGTGAATTACATAGGTACAGAAAAGTTACACCAAGGTGAAGCGCACATCTATGGGTTCACAATAATATCTACCTTAAAACACAAGTAAATCCGTTTACACCGATTTTGTTGGGGTTGATGTGCGCAATGTTTGTTTGTATCTGGTCAACATCTCATGTAGTGCAAATGTGTAACGCAATCTCGAGCCGCTTTTTAAAGAAACTAATAATGCCGGCGCAGAAATGGCACAAGTCGGAAGAGTGTGTCACGGCCGACAAATTCTGGGAGGTGAGGGGGAGTTTCTGCGGTATTGTGTGGCTAGGTTCAGCAGGTGTACTCTCTGTTTTGTGTTTCATTACGTTTCGGAAAGTGGCGGCAAAGGTGGCAATACGTTCAAAATGTGACACTTCAAAATGAGATCACCCCCGCAGATAGCGATAACCCGCTGTGCAATCATACGCCTTTCCGACGTAGTTGGTATGGCAGGGGAACATGCTCTTAAGGTTTCTGGTTAGGCTGAACCGTGGGGTATCCATTGCAGTTAACTCGAGTTTTAACCAGGGTCGCGAAACCTGAGGTACGTAATCTGTAGGCCACTCATGCGCATAGCGCATTTGCAAGAAGATGGATTAGTAGAACCAAAGGAATGCCCTCGGTAAGAAAACAACCTTATTGTCCCCAATTTTGCGCTTCGCGGATATTAAAGAAACCTATTAGGCAATCAAAAGTCAGTGTTAGCTTCACGGATTGTTATGAAAAGCCAAGGTCATCTTAAATATACCCCCAATGTCGCGCTCCTGTGAGGATACTTACAAGATCTGGTCAACCAGCCTATGGGTGTTATTAGGCTTATAGATTATATGCGGTACTTTACGCCTATCCGCATTGAAGGAAATTAGATTACTGTTTACCCATTAAAAACTTGGTCCATTTCTTGCTACAGTATGTTTTGATATTCCTCATCACCGAGCACCCGACATACATAAGTTAAAACGAATAGCAGTCTGATGCTTCATACAATTGGCTTCGCAATCTATTGTAGGTTTTGGAGTACCCGCCGTGTGCCTCGGATTGCGACACGCGGTTGAATTCAATCTGTGCCAATACGGTCACTGGGAACGCCACCGAAGTGGAAGGTTTTCGGTT